GGGCTGGGATAGCGGGGGCTGCGGGTTGGGAGTGAGGGGCACCGGCGTGGGGGGCAGGGCTGGGATAGCGGGGGCTGCGGGTTGGGAGTGAGGGGCACCGGCGTGGGGGGCAGGGCTGGGATAGCGGGGGCTGCGGGTTGGGAGTGAGGGGCACCGGGGGGGGGGGCAGGGCTGGGATAGCGGGGGCTGCGGGTCCGGAGTGAGGGGCACCGGCAGGGCTGTGTTGGGTGGGGAGGGGAGCTTTTCCCCAATGCCCTGGTAGAAGCCAGAGTCACTTTTTCTCCAATAAGCCCCAGGAGGAGGGCAGCTCCCCCCTGCCCCCGGGTTCATTTATTTCCCAGGAGAGATTGGGGGCGGGGGGAGGCTCCGGCGCTCGGTGCCGGAGCCCTCGTGAGGCGTGTCCGTCCCTCGGGAGCCGGGGGTCCTCCCAGGTCCAGCAGCCCGGCCCGCGCTGCCCGGCCCCTCGTCGCAGTGGCCCCTGGAGCTGGGGTCTCCTCGCGGCGGGGCGGCTCCGTGTGGTTTTCCTCGGCCGTCCCGTGGGGCCCGCTCACGTCCTGGCGCCGGCGCGAGCCTCCACCTGCCGGGGGGGAGCGGGCAGCTGAGAGCAGGCGGGGTCTGGGCAGTGATCGGCATCCTGGGGGGGGGACTGACTGGCTTTGCAGGGAGACCACCTGGGCCCTGCCCCCGCGGGCAGCACCCAAAGGAGCCGACCCCGCCCGGGCTCCGGACAGACCCATGGTCCCCAGCCTGGCTCAGGCCCCCTGGCTGCAGAGGCCGGGGGCAGGGGGGTTGTGCCTGAGAGCCGGGGATCGTGGGCGACCTGGGCTAGCGGCTAGTGCGATGGCCACGGGGCACCTGGTTCTAATCCTGGCTCTGCTAGGCCCTCTCTGCCTCAGTTTCCCCGTGGGTAGCGGCTGTGCCCCCCATGCTCGCCCGAGCCGAGCTCCCCCTCCCCCCCCCCCCCCGCGGCCGTGCCCCCCCCCCCCGCCCGGGCCGCGCCCCCCCCCCCCCCCCCCCGCGGGGGCCTTGCCTGCTCCCGGAGCTGGGCCAGTTGCTCCGCCTGCCTGGCCGCTTGCTGCTGCTGCTGCTGGGCCGCGTCCGCCAGGGCCTGGAGGGTGAGGTTCTGCCGCTCCACGTGCGTCTGGGGAGAGGCGGGGGTCAGACGCACCCGGGAGGGGGTCCCCCCATGTGTGGGGCACGTGCCAGGTGACCCTTTGCTCCCCCTCCCCCTCCAGCTGCTCTCTCCCCAGCCCCCCTTGTCCCATCGCCCCGGAGCTGAGGGCCCAGCAGCCCACTGTTGGGGCCCGGATCCCAGTGGGGGTCGCTCCCTCTCCCCCCCCCCCGTGATCGGGCCGTGCTCAGCCCCCGGGGGAGAGTTGAGCCTGCGGTTCAGAGCTCCCCCTGCTGGCAGCAGCGGTGGCGGCGCAGGCCGGGCCAGGGCTGGGTTTAGGGGTGTCTCACGCCTGGGCCCAGAGCGAGCGGGGGTCAGGGCAGCGTTTGGAGCCGGGAATTCCCGGGGCCCAGGCGTGTCCGTTACCTTGAGAGCAGCCAGCTCCGTGGCCCCATGCCGGGGGCCCCTCCCCGCCAGGCCAGCCAGCGTATTCTCCAGCTCCTGCACCCGCTCTGCCAGCAGGAGGCGCCCCGCTAGCGTTGCCTGGAAGACCTGAGCCGTGCTGTGGGTCTGTAGCCGCAGCGCCGTCTCCTCGGCCTGGCGGGGGGAGAGCAGAGCTGTGGGGCGACTGAGCCGGGGCTGGGGGGGCTCGGCCCTGGGGTACTGCAAGGGGGGAGAGCACCAAAAGCATCCTGCCGTGTGCCTCGGTTTCCCCATCTGGGGCTGGTAATCCTGCCCTGCCCTCGGGGCTGATGGCGAGGGGCTGGGTGAGCCCTCAGTTGGGCAGATGAAGCCGGAGACTTGGGGGTTAATAGACACCTGGCCCCTGCCGGGGAGATGCCCCCAAATCCTCTTAGCCCCAGGGCCAGGATCCGGCGGGCTCACCCGCCTCCCGCAGGCTTTGCAGACTCTAAACCATCACCCCCTGCTGGACAGCTGGGGAAACTGAGGCGCAGAGGTGAACCTCGAGGTTTCAAGCTGAGGAAGTGCCAGAGCCAGGAATAGAACCCAGGTGTCCTGGCTCCCAACCCCCCCCTCCCCTACTTCCCCCAGGTGGGTACCTTGAGCCCCTCCACTGCCCCGCGCAGCTCCTCCATGGCCTGCCGGGCCTGGCGCGCCTGGCGCTGCAGGGCCCCCAGCAGGAGCTGGCAGCGCCCGAGCCGGCGCCCGGCCTGCTCCAGCCGCTGCCCTGTGGCGCCGTAGTTCTCATGCAGTGCCTGGCTGAACTGCAACACCCCATAGACCAGGATGTCCACCTCGTCCTGCGGGGCCACCCCCGGGGGGGGCCGGGCCGCGCCAGGGGGCAGCAGGGCCAGCAGCAGCGCCAGGCTCAGCATCGCTCGGGCGCCGGAGGGCAGGAGACGGCCTTATATGGGCCTGGGGGCGGGGGGAGGTGTGGGGCAGGGCATTGGGTGTCTGGTGAGCGTCTCCTCCCCGCCCCCCGGGCTCCAGTGCCAGCAGACTTTGGCAGCTGGCGCGGGTCCAGCGCCCTGTCCTGACGGCTGCCCTGGGGCACGGAGCCCCTGGCCGGGGCAGGGCAGTTGCGAAAGGGGATTGCGTCAGAGAGGCAGCGGCGGGCAGTGAAGGGTTAATAGCGGAGCCGGCTCGTGCTCCTCAGATTCCTGCAGCCGGGTGGGGGGCAGAGCCCCAGCGGGCAAACGCAGAGCTCCTGAGACACGGCTAGACCCTGCTCCCCTCCCGGAGCCGGGGAGAGACCCAGGAGTCCTGGCTCCCAGCCCCCCACCCCCCTCTAGCCACTAGACCCTGCTCCCCTCCCGGAGCTGGGGAGAGAACCCAGGAGTCCTGGCTCCCAGCCCCCCACCCCCCTCTAACCACTAGACACATCCCCCCTCCCGGAGCCGGGGAGAGACCCAGGAGTCCTGGCTCCCAGCCCCCCACCCTCCTCTAACCACTAGACCCTGCTCCCCTCCCGGAGCTGGAGAGAGAACCCAGGAGTCCTGGCTCCCAGCCCCCCACCTCCCTCTAGCCACTAGACCCTGCTCCCCTCTCGGAGCCGGGAAGAGAACCCAGGAGTCCTGGCTCCCAGCCCCCCCACACCCCTCTAACCACTAGACACCGCTCCACTCCCGGAGCCGGGTAGAGAACCCAGGAGTCCTGGCTCCCAGCCCCCCACCGCACTCTAACCACTAGACCCCGGCCCCCTCCCAGAGCCAGGGAGAGAACCCAGGAGTCCTGGCTCCCAGTTCCCCCTCCCGCTCCCCTCCCAGACTGGGGTTCCAGCTGAGACAGGATCTGGGTCAGTCCAGTCCAGTGCAGGGTAGCAGGGGAGGGCACCTGAGCTGGGGGGGGGTCTCAAACCAAATTCCCCCCCTTTTTTATCCCCCTCCCCCACACTCCTGGCTCCCTGCTGCCCGTTGGCTCGTGGCCTGCCCAGCTGCCTGGCCGCCCCGGAGCGGCCTCGTGATCCGTTCCATCAGGGTCACCGGCGGGCAGCCACGTGCGGGCGGGGGTCAGGAGGTACCACTGCACAGCCGGGGAGCTAGGACGCCTGGGTTCTCTCCTCTGCCTTGGCACCAAGCCCCTTCCCCTCTGGGTGCCTCGGTTTCCCTCCCTGCAATGGGGCCGCTGCTCTCCCCCGCAGGCCTCTGGGAGGCAGGACCCTGTCCCAGCCCGCAGCGGTGTGAATGGGCATGGCCGCGCCCACCCCCCCACTGACCCCCTGCGTGTCTCTCTCCCGCCCCCCCCAGGAACCTGCTCTACGTCTACCCCCAGAGCCTGAACTTCAGCAGTCGCCAGGGCTCGGTGCGCAACATCGCCGTGAAGGTGCAGTTCATGGCGGGCGAGGACCCCAGCCAGGCCCTGCCGGTGAGTGTCGGCCCCAGCCCCGAGCTTCCCGGAGCGACAGCCAGCAGGGCACGGCCGGGTGTCTGTGCCGATGGGGAAACCGCCCGTCCCCGAGGGACGCGACCGGCGTCGGCCTGACACACCTACCCCCAGCCCGGTTCGGGGGCAGCGGAAATGGAGCTGAGAAAGGGCCACAGATCATGGGGTGAAGCTGAGATGGGGCTGGCTCCCGCCGCTGAGCGCTGACACCGCCCCTCCCTGCTTGCAGCCCGGAAGCAGAGTCTGGCCGAGCAGGAGGCTGGGGGGCCCTGGCCCTACATCAAAGCAGCAGCCCAGGGGCGGGAGGGACGGGGTACCCTGGGGGTGCTTGGCCCGCGGCGCCAACAGGAACCCGCTCTTCTCAGGGCTTCACCGAGCCGCAGCCTCCAGCCCATCTCGGGATTTTCAACCTGATCTCGGATTTCAGGGGCCTGGCTGGAGAGTTTTGCCCCCTCTGGGCTGCCCGGCCTGAGACACCCCAAAAACGCTTCGGGGGGCGGGCACGCGTTGCCTGTAAACTCAGGGCCCTTCGACATGCTTCACATCAGCCCTGAGATCAGGTGGGGGGCCCCCAGCTCGGTGATGCTAAATGCGGGCCCCCGAAACTTCCGGCCAAAGGTTAACTCTCTCCAGATCCCAGGGAGGTTGGGCCCGGTGCCTGAACCCCCCCAGGCAGCACTGTCCCTCTCCCATCTCTTGCCGCTGTGTCAATCTGTGGCTGTCCCGCCTGTCTGCCCCCCCCTCGCCCGGTGTGATGTTTGGCTTTCACCAGGTGATATTCGGCAAGTCGAGCTGCAGCGAGTTTACGAAAGACGCCTACACCGCCGTAGTGTATCACAACAGGTGAGCGCTGCCCACCGAGCTGTCCAGGCATGGGCGGGGAGGGGCTATTTCAGTTAATACGGTAACCCGTCTAGGGGTGTCTGGGGGTGGGGGGCTATTTCAGTTAATACGGTAACCCTTCTGGGGGTGTCTGGGTGGAGGCGGGTGCTGGGCCGGGCCGGTCTCTGCCATGGGTCTCCCCAGGGCAGCCCCCCAGCCTGGAGATCGGGAGGGTTTCAGCGCCTGAGTGTGGGGATCGGGGGGTGCCCCATGCAGACGCCTCGGGGCTCCTTGGCCACGGGGGGCCTCACTGCTGCTGCCCCCCAGGTGCCCCGAGTTCTACGAGGAGTTCAAACTGCGGCTCCCGCCCGCCCTGACAGACAATCACCACCTGCTCTTCACCTTCTACCACGTCAGCTGCCAGCCCAAGCAGAACGCGCCGCTGGAGACGCCCGTCGGCTACACGGTCAGCCGGGCTGGGGGGCCTCCTCGCTGCCCCCCGCCCCAAATCGCTGCCCTCGGAACCTCTCCAGCCCTGGGGCCCCGCCCCCCGGGAACCTCCCCAGCCTGTGTCCCTGCCCCCCGGGAACCTCCGCCGCCCCTTGTCCCTGGCCTCCGGGAACCTCCCCAGCCCCTGGGCCCCCCGTCCACCCCATGTCCCTGCCCCTGGGAACCTCCCCAGTGCCTCGGACCCCCCAACCCACATCCCTGCCCCTGGGGCCCCCGGTCTCATCCCTGCTCTCTCCTGCCAGTGGGTCCCGCTGCTGCAGCACGGCCGCCTGCGGACGGGGCTCCTCTGCCTGCCCGTGTCGGTGGAGAAGCCCCCACCCAGCTACTCCGTGCTCACCCCTGACGTAAGTAGGCGCGGCAGGTCCGTGGCAGCCCTGGGCACATACACCTGGGCCAGCTGGAGCCAGTGTTCCGGCCCCTGGCCCTAGGGGGCACCGGTCGGCTCGGGGGGAGGTGGGCGTCCAGGCCGGCAGACCCAGTCTGGGACCTCCCAGCACCCTCGCCCGGGCTGGGCTGGGCTACAGGGACCTGCCCCAGTGAGGCCGGGATGGGGGTGCCAGCCCCCTTGAGACAGGGGGCTTTGTCGGGGGAGGGGAAATGTCCTTCCTTTGGGCACCACCCACCCTGCAACTGGCAGGGAAACTGAGTCATGGGGGCGTGGTCAGATCCCGGGGGGGACCACCGCTGCACCCCTGCCTGGCATCCGTGCCCTCTGCCCATGGGGATGGGGTGGGAGCAGGCGTGGGGGCTGGGACCCGGGTGAGGGAGCAGTGGGGGCAGGGGGAAGGAGTGGGGTCCGGGGCCCACGGTTCTCCCTCCCTGCCGGCAGGTGCAGCTCCCTGGCATGAAGTGGGTCGATAACCACAAGGGGGTGTTTCACGTGGAGCTGCGGGCCGTGTCCTCGGTGCACACGCAGGTGAGGGCGGGGCTGGGGCGGACATCCTGGGGGGCTGGAGCTGTCTGGTTCCCCAGCAGGGGTGGGGAAGTGGGGGAATGGGGGGTGCTGGAACTGGGCTCCCCGGGGGGCAGGTCAGGGGGTGGGGTGGGTAGGGAGGCTGGGGGTGCTCTGTACGGCTTCCCAGGGGCGATGTGGGGCACCGTGTCTAGTTGCTGCATGTGGGGCGCTTTGCCAGGCTGAGGGGTGCCTGTGGGCCTGGCTGAGGATCTGGGCCCTGCCCCTCGTCCATGGGCACAGCCTGTCTGTGGGGCTGGGATCGGCGTCTGTGCCCCCTGGCTCCGGACCCGCCATCCCAGCTCTTGGCATCAGGCCATGCCCGCTCGCGGCCCCTCCAGCCCCATTCTGCCAACGTACCCAGCGTCTCTGTGGCTGACGGGTCTGATCCCTCTGTGCCCGCGCTACGTACCCACCGGGGTGGCCCGTGGGGAGCTAGAGCCTGGCGTCGGGGGTCAGGACTCCTGGGTTCATTTCCTTGGTCCCCCCCCTGCAATGGGGGACGCTAGTGCAAGAGGGCAGAGCGGCGCCGGCCAGTGCTTGGAGATCCCGGGGGCGGGAGCTGGGGCTGGAGCCCCCCGGTGCCACCTGCCCCGTCCCCCGGCAGGACCCCGCCCTGGATAAGTTCTTCACGCTGGGCCACGTGCTGGAGGAGAGCCACTTCCCGGTGCGGCTGCGGGACGCCGTGCTGACCGAGAGCAGCGTGGAGGGGGAGCTGCGGGCCAGCGTGGCCGGGCTGCGGGGGGCCGGGCTGGGGCCACTGCTCGCCCACTGCCACCAGGTCCTGGACAAGCTGCTGCTGCTCATCGCCCGCCCGCCCATCATCGGGGGCCAGATCGGGGGGTGCCCCCCCCCCCCCCCCCCCCCAGCTGCCGGGACCGCGCCCTGTGATCGGGGGGGTGCCTGGCCCCCCACGCCGCGGGGACCTCGCCCTGTGATCTGGGGGGAGCCTGGCCCCCCCACCCTGCGGGGACCTTGCCCCCCGATCGCCAGGGGCCGGAGCAGCGAGTGCCGGGCTTAACAGGGTCTGGAAAGAGTGTGTGGGGGGGTCTGTCGTTTTCTGCAGATCGAATTCTGCCCCCTCTCACCCTACCTCTGCTCCTGGACATTTCACTCACCCCCTTTCCAGGCCTGGGGTGGCTGCACTGGGGCCCTCTCCCCTTTCTCAGGCCAGGTGTTGTTGGCAGGGGGGTGCGGAGCCGCCAGGCTCTTTGTCCCGTCCCCCCCGCCGCTACCGCCCCCGAGAACGGCGCTAACCCCTAAGGGGAGGAGGGGAGAGTTCTGCAGCTGCTCTGATTGGCTGCTCTGCCCCAGGAGGCGGGGCAGAGGGGAAGGCAGCCAATCAGAAGGGGCGTTTTGCACAGTTGATTTCCCGGATGTTACCCGGGGCGCGTGACGTCGGCGTGCCGGAGCCCCCACAATCGGCCCGTGCCCCAGGGGAGCACTAGCCCTGCTGTCCCCAAGGGGAAACTGAGGCACCGGGCAGGGCCGTGGCTTGCACGCGATCAGCCAGCAGGCCAGAGGCAGAGCCAAGGAGTCCCGTGTGCCCGTGCAGGGCTCCCCGCACTGGGCCAGGACTGATGGGGACCTGCTCCCGTGCCCCAGGGAGAGGAACCCAGGAGTCCTGCGGCCCAGCCCTGCCCCGCTCCCCGGCTCACTCCTGCCCCCTTCACTTCTTCCCCCAGTCAACCTGGGCCGCACCGCCTTCGAGGCCATGGCCGTCATGGTGAACCAGATCCACCAGGGACTGGAGGCCAGCCAGGGCCAGCACGGCCACAACCCGCTGCTTGCCGCCTACATCCACTTCGCCTTCCGCCTGCCCGCCGAGCCGCCGCCAACGGGGGACGGTGAGCTGGGGGCACAGGGCCCCCGGGGGGCTCCTCGGCTGGGGGAACTCCAGGCAGCCGGCCCCTTAACATCCATGGGGCTGTGTGTCCTGGGGGGGGGCAGGGGCGGCTGCTGGGGGCCAGTTCCCAGGGGTGTGGTGGAGGCAGGGGCTGCTTCTGGGGAGGGATGAGTGGGAGGAGGAGTCCAGTGGGGAGGGGAGGGCTGCTCCCAGAGGGGTGGGGTCTGATCCCAGGAGGGGTCTTCTGGGAATGTTTCCTCTGGGGGATCCTCGGGAAGGGGGGCAGAGTTGGACAGGGGAACCGGGCTGAGATGCAGAACTCCTGGGTCCTATCCCCGGCCCTGGGAGGGGAGTGGGGTCTGGTGGTTAGAGCAGGGGGCTGGGAACCAGGACTCCTGGGTCCTATCCCCGGCCCTGGGAGGGGAGTGGGGTCTGGTGGTTAGAGCAGTGGGCTGGGAGCCAGGACTCCTGGGCTCTCCAAGGGGGTTAAAATGCCTCCCCACCCCCTTGACTCCCCCGGGTGTGTTTGTTCCAGAGGCCGGGACGCCGCCCCAGGGGGCTGCCATCCAATGCGCCACCCTGTCCCGCGCCACCGGCCGCCCCGCCAGCCTCAACCTGTCGCGCTCCAAGAGCATCAGCAACAGTAACCCTGACCTGGCCACCACGCCCGGCTCCCCCGACGACGAAGTGCAGCAGATCTTGGGCAGCAAAGTAAGGCCGGCGCTGGCTGTGCCCCTGGGGAGGGGCGCCCGGCTCTGCCGCTCACCCTGGGCGCTCTGCACCCTCCGGGGTGGAATCCGCCCCCCGGGATCCCTGCAAGCTGCCGGTCGGGGCACGGCTGCCCCGTCCCCTGCCACCTTCCCCGCTTGGTGCTTTCGGGCTGGGCTGCGCTGGTGGCGGGTCGCTCTGGGTTCCCGGCTGAAATCCCGCGGTGGGCAGGGGGCTGGCTGGGCCGGGGGTGGGTGGGTGGGGGGCTCCCACTCTTGGCTCTGAATCCGCCCTCCCCCCGGTGACGGTTCTCGCTGCTCTCTTCTCTCCCGCTGGCCGCGGTGCAGGGGATCGACCGCTCGCACTCCTGGGTGAACTCGGCCTACGCCCCCGGCGGGCCCAGGGCCGTGCTCCGCCGGAACCCGCCCAGCTCCAGCGCTGACCTCAAACAGGTGCCCCTTCCCCTTCTCCGCTTCGCTTGCAGCCCCCGCCCCGGCTGGTTCTCTCCGCGCGGCGCTGACCCCTAGTGGGGGGGAGCGAGGACTGCGGCGCCACTTCGCCCGGGGGGGGTGGGGAGAACCGGCGCAGACCCCCATGGGGCACTGGTGGAGGGGGGCTGGTCCATCACATCTCTCTTCTGCTCCATCCGCTCACTCCATTAACTCCTCTCCTCCATCATCACCGCCCGCCGCGTCCCACAGGCCTGCGAGCGAAGCTCTAACCGCCTCTCCTCCTTCCTGGAGCGCTCCTCCGCGCCCGCCGCCCCCACCAGGCCGACCGCCAAGAAGGTAGAGGGGGGGGAGGGCGGCCGAGCAAAGTCTGGGGGGCGGGGGAGGGGATAAATGGTTCTTGCCCAGCTACAGCTGATCCTCAGTCTCCTGGAATAGACACTTCCCCCCCACCCCCCGCATCCGCCCATGAAATAGACTAGGGGGGGGGGGGGGTGTCTCATGATCAAAGCACGGGGCTGGGAGCCAGGACTCCTGGGTTCTCTCCCCGGCTCTGAGAGGGGAGTGGGGGCTAGTGGTCAGAGCAGCGGGGGCTGGGGGCCCGGACTCCTGGGTTTTCTCCCCGGCTCTGAGAGGGGAGTGGGGGCTAGTGGTTAGAGCAGGAGGGATGGGAGCCCGGATGCCTGGGTTCTCTCCCCGGCTCTGAGAGGGGAGTGGGGACTAGTGGTCAGAGCAGCGGGGACTGGGGGCCCGGACTCCTGGGTTCCGTCCCTGGCTCTAGAAGCAGGAAGTGATGTAATGGCTAGAGCTGGAGCACTGGGAGCCCTGTGTCCGGTCCCCTGCCCCCAGCCCGGCCACTGACGTCCTGTGTGGCCTGGGGTACGTCACGTCCGTTTTCCGTGCCTCAGTTTCCCCATTGATAACGCTTGCCGTAGCCTCACTGGGGCGACACGAGGCCTAGTTAACGAACGCCAAGTACGTGCTTGGAGCCCTGCCCTGGAGCTCCCAGTGTGTCGTTAAAGCCTTGAATCGGGACCGGGCTCTGATCCCGCCCGCGGCCGATGCATTAATCAGAATCGCCGAGCTCCAGAGTCGCTCCCAGCCCCGGGTGCCCCCGGCCGGACAGAGAGAGAATCCGGGTCTGGGGGAGACGTCTCCTTTCGGACAGGCTCCATCTATCACCCGCCAGCTAAAATCTCCAGCCTGTTCCTCTCCATCCATCTTCTGCCCTGCACCCCTCGTCTCCTCCTCTGCCCTGTCTGAGCCCAGCCCGGCCGCCTCCCTCGCCGGCGTGCCATGGAGCGCTCCGCTGGGCCGCTTTCCCCTCCAGGCTCACAGCCTCAGGCCGGCGGGGGGTCCCGCTAGCCGAGGGCAGGCCCGGCGCCTGGCGATAGCCGTGAGCGAACGGAGGGGCCCGGTGTGTTACGGGGGGAGACGCGCTGCAGACCGGCAGCGCCGTGCTGGGGCCAGGCGAACCCAGGGTCTGTCCCGGCCGGAGCCGCTAACGCCTCCACCCCGGAGCGTTCCCGCTGCTCGATCCGCCCGGGCAGGCGTCATTGGGAGCGGGGAACCATGCCCAGGCCAGGATAACTGCTGGAGCCAGGGCTGGCTCATGGCAGCGGGGCTGGACCGACGTAGCTCAGTCTCCCTGGGCCTCAGTTTCCCACCTGGCCGCGGGGGGGTGGGGGGGGGAGGGGGCTGTGTGGATTGCAGAGCAGGGAGGGTGATGGGAGCCGGGGGGTAAATCGGTGTAGGAGCAGTGGGGGGAGGGGGAAGACACTCGATGCCCCAGCCCAGGAGGAGACGAGCTCCCCCCCCCGGCGTTACCCCCTTGGTGCTGCCGGCCCTGCCCCCTGCCCCCAGTAACCGCCCGGCTGTCTCCTCCCAGCTGCTGCACGAGGAACTGGCCCTGCAGTGGGTGGTGAGCACCGGCGCCGTGCGCGAGGCCGTGATACGCCAGGCCTGGTTCTTCTTCCGGCTGCTGGTGAGTGCCCGGGCAGGGCCCCCCGTCGGCCTTGGCCTGGCAGCCCCCCAGTATCCGGGCTCCCTCCTCCCGTCGGCCTTGGCCTGGCAGCCCCCCAGTATCCGGGCCCACTCCCCCCGTCGGCCTTGGCCTGGCAGCCCCCCAGTATCCGGGCTCCCCCCGAAGCCCCCATTAACCCTCCCCCGTATAGTGCTGTCCATATAGTACGGGGGGGGGGGGGTGTCGCTGTCCCTGGGCTCATGGGGCGGGGAAGGGGCCGGCGGGTCCCGCTGGGGAGGGAGGCTCCAGGCGGCGGTTCTGGTGGCTGGCGTTCCCGGGGGTCCCCGCAGCCCGTGCCCAGCGCCGGCACCTCTCGCCCGCAGGGGAAGAGCCTGGCCCTGCACCTGCACCAGGCCCAGAAGCTGGAGGTGCCGCGCCGGCTGCGCTTCCCCAGCCGCTTCGTGGACGACATCGCCGCCCTGGTGGGCACCGTCAGCATCGAGATCGCCAGCCGCTACCAGAAGGTGGGTGCCCCCGCCCCCCTTCCCGCTTAGCTACCCCCCACCTTCATCTATCCCCTGCTCATCTGTCCCTCCAGGTATCCAGCCAGCCCCCTGTAACCCCCCAGCGTGTCCCTCCCTCCATCCCCAGCCTGTCCAGCCCCCTGTTGTCCATCCATGGCCCATGCCCCCCGGCCAGCCCCCCTATTATCCATCCACATCCCCTGTCTGTCCCTCCCTCAGCCTGCCCTTGCTCGCCCCAGCCCGGCCTGCTCTCTCACCCCACCCGTTGCTCCTGGGCTGCTTGGAGCCCCGTGTCCCTGGGGGGCATTAACCCCCCCCGTCCCCCCGGCCTTGTCTCCGCAGGACGTGGAGCTGGTGGAGCACCTCAACAGCAGCCTGGCCTTCTTCCTCAACGACCTGCTCTCCCTGATGGACCGCGGCTTCGTCTTCAGCCTCGTCCGCCTCTACTACAAGCAGGTTGGCTGGGGCGGCCTCCCCATGGGACATCCTGCAGCTGGGAGTTCCGCAGGCTTCAAAACCCCCAGGGTGTGGGCGGGTCTCCGCTTTGAGCTGCGGCCTCACAGTTGGGGTGGGGATGGGCCTCCGGGCTACGGGAGACCAGCCAGTGAATGCCCAGAGCTGGGGAGGGGGTGGGCACGGGGCATCGCGGCGTGTACAGCTGGGCCCGGGGGCGGGCGAGAAAGGGGATGATCAGAGGGGGACAGCTGGGCTGGCAGGGACAGGCAGGAAAGGGGGTGATTGGGGGGG